AAATTATATTTATGTAATTTTAATTTATTTTTAATTCAGCATTCAGAGTACCGCCAGACCTAATTCTTGCCCATTTCCATCTTGCAGACAAAGCCAGGACCCATCAAGGCAGCTGGTTCCCACTCGGAGCGCTCGGTGTCCGTGTACTGCTACAACTGCTCCCGCAAAGGACACCTGGGATACGTAAGTCTTGGCACTCTCTGCCAAGTCTGCACTCTCTGGGGTAGAAATCTATCCCTGCCACGGTGTGTGTGTGTGTGTGGCTGGAGGGAAAAGCTGGAAGAGCCAAGCTGGTGTGTGTGACACGAGAGGAGTGTGACAACAGTGCTGCAGTGGAGGCCAGTGTATAAAGTATAGCACCCATCTAATTTAAAGATAGGGAGGCAAGGAAAAGCTGCTGTCTCTCCTCGGCAGGTTCACTGATTTGACACTGCCTGGGAGAGAGAATATTCATTGGAAAACAGTTGCTGAATACAGCTTTTTTTTTTTTTTCCCTTTTTTTTTCTTCCCATTAGTGCCTCACTGCCACTTTCAACATCACGTCAGGGTTTTCACCACAATCAGCCCAACTATTTGAGTGCTGTTTTGGGAAGCTTCCATTTCTGCCTGCTTGTGATGATCCTTATTTGTAGTTAGTTTAGTTCAACATCTGAACTAAGTTTGGCATTGCCCTTCTATAAGGTGCAGCCTGGTAAAGGAGATGTCATGAGCCTTAAGTGGCTTCAGTAAAGATAGATGTGGCTGCATCTTCCAGGGTGTTTTGGCAATATTTGTCACCTTTTTTTGGTGCCTATCAGGAAAAGTTCAGCTCTGTAATTACCAATACAAAACAAATAATAGGGTTCTATACTTTATGGAATGAATGCAGAAGCCAAGCCACAAATATTCTGGAAAATGAATGTTAATCATGCATTGGATAGGTTTAGCTTACTTTTTCCTGTGGCTTAGAGACAGCAAATTGCCAAAAAATTCCTCTCTTCACTTCTGCCTGTTCTTGTTTGTCAGCCCCTTCAACTATCCAGTATGTTTTGCTAAAAAGCTTGGGGCTTTAGTTTAGTTTACTTTTAATAAACTGTCCAAAAAATGCCCCTGGAGGAAAACAGACATAGGTGAATACAAGCAAGGCTGCTGTAAAAATAATGAGTAATTATTAAGGATGCTGTAAATAGATTATTTGATTATATCAAATATTCATATCATATTGATTTATAACTTATTAAATAAGTCATTATTAAGGCTGCTGTAAAAATAATTAGAAATTATGTGTGAGGAGCTGATAGTGAGTACTTAGATTGAAAATGGTAGAAACTGTACAAAATCAGAAAGAGAGGAAAGCAATTAGTGGACATTTTATGCCTCTCAGAGTTAGGGCAGATAAGAAAGTATTTGTAGTAGTGTACAAGGAGCAGAAACAGCCTGAGCAATGACTGCATGAAAGGGGATAAGTCAATAGCAACACAAGAGGGCAGAGATAACAGATCTTCCCATGTGCAAAAGCATAGCAAAAACATAGTCCCAAAAACAGGCAAAACACTTGCAGGAAAACTGTTTCTTCTCTAAATTTCAGCCAAGCAAAACTGGCCAAAAAGAAGCTGGGAAATACTAAATCCATCAAAAATGTATCTCTGATCTGCTGTGCCTCGGGAAGGGAAAGAGGAGCAGGCAGGGACAGGGGATTCCAGGGTGGCACTGAGTGGTAGCAGTAGCACATGCAGGAAAGCTGCTGGTCCCATGGTGCAGACATGAGGTGAGCGACAGCTTTTGACAGCTCCTGGAGATTGGTGAGGTCCAGGTGTCACTAGAATGGCTTCAAAGTGACGGAGAGTAGAGTTAGATTAGCTGTCAGGAAGAAATTCTTCCCTGGCAGGGTGGGCAGGCCCTGGCACAGGGTGCCCAGAGCAGCTGGGGCTGCCCCTGGATCCCTGGCAGTGCCCAAGGCCAGGCTGGACATTGGGGCTGGCAGCTCCTGGGACACTGGGATCTTTACGGTCCCTACCAAGCCATTGTGGGATTCTATGTTTCCATGATCTCAGCAGTATCTAAGAAGAGAAAGATGATGAAGCAAAGCACAGCAGGTAACAAGCACTGTGCAAGGAGGATAAAGGAGAATAAGACACCTGTCAGTATCAGATGGTACCCAGAAAAAAGGCAAAATCATAGGAAGTGTTCCTGTTAGCCTTCAGAGCCTTAGCTCTGAAGACATGGATAAAACTATGTGTGCAGCAGTGACAAAACTTACATTCCTGTTCCAAGTGTCTGGGAACACGATGCCAGAGTCAGTCCCTTCCTCGCCTCAGCTCTGTTCAGGGCTCTCCTCCTCTTGTTTCTTCCTGCTCCCTGCACTCTGACATGTGCACACAGCAGCCTGCTGCAGGGTTTGCCTGTGGTTTGTACCTGTGAGGGAATGGCACACCGTGAAACCCACCCTGGCTGTCGGCAGGCTCTGCCTCCCGTGGCTGCTCCCCGCTTTGCTTCATCATCTTTCTCTTCTTAGATACTG